TGTGACCCCCACGCTGTCCCCAGCTCTGGGAACCCTTTGTGACCCCCACGCTGTCCCCAACTTTGGGGACACTTTGAGACCCCCACATTGTCCCCCGCCTTGGGGACACTTTGAGACCCCCACAGCTGGGGACACTTTGTGCCCCCCACGCTGTCCCCGCTCTCGGGCTCGGTGACATCGCCAGGGTGGCACAGTGGTGGCCGTCTCACCTGTCCCCTGCTCCTGTTTTGGGGACCCCCACAGTGGTGGTGGGGAGGGGGTCGCTGCTGTCCCCCAGAGCTCCGTGGGGCTGGGGGCTGCCGGTGCCATCCCGGGGCAGCTCCGGGGTGACCACGGGTGGCACTCGGGTGGCACTCGGGTGGCACTCGGGTGGCACTGAGGTGGCCGCCGCCCCCTCCCCGTTTCCGCATCCGCCACCCCCCCCGCCCATCCCGCACCTGCCCGGCCACGTGTGGGGGGATCGTAATCCCCAAAAGCCCACCCGGGCACGGCCGCCCGGCCTCGTCCCCCCTCGGGATGTCCCCAGCGCTGCCCCGGGGGTCCCGCAGCCCCGCCGAGCCCCCCAAACCCCTCGGGGGGGGGAAGCGGGGAGAGCTTTTTTGGGGGGCGTTTACCTCGGGCTCTCGCTGTCCCCCGGGGCAGCTCCGGCTAATTAATCCCCCGGGATGAGCGCGGCCCAGAATAGCCGGGGGAATCGGATCAGCTAATGAGCTGAGGGGGAGGAGAGCCGCCGGTGACCGGCCGCGGTGCCCCCGGTCCCGCGGGCGCCCGGTGCCACCGAGGCGGTGGCGGCATGCCGGGGCTGCAGGGAGCCCCGCTGGCGGAGCTGCCGCGGAAGCTGCAGCGCTCGCTGCTGAGCCGCCGGGAGCTCCAGGGCCGGGCCACCGACATCTCCGAGTCCGTGGTGCACACGGCGGTCATGGGGCTGCTGCTGCTCACCGGCGAGGTGAAGCCACCGGCGCCGGGGCACGGCCGGGGGGCACGGCCGGGGGGCCGGGGCGCGGCTCACCGGGTGTCCCCCCGCTGTCCCCCCGCAGACCCACCACACGCTGCTGCTGGGCTCGGGCCACGTCGGCCTCAGGAATTTGGGCAACACGGTAAAGTGGAACCCTGCCGGGGTTCCGTTCTGGGAGGGGGGGCGGGAGGGATTTGGGGTCCCCTCGGGGTCACCTCGGGGTCCCCCATGCTCGGGAGCCGTGTCCCACCCTCCCGGCCTGCTGGGATGTCACATTGCCAGAGCTCCCCCGGCGCTGTCCCCAGCGCTGCTGTGCCTCTGTCCTGGGTGTGGGAGGGATTTGGGGTCCTTCTGGTGTCCCTTAGGGTCCCTTGGTGTCCTTAAGGGTCCCTTCGGTGTTCTTTAGGGTCCCTTGGTGTCCTTAAGGGTCTCTTGGTGTCCCTTTGGTGTCCTTTAGGGTCCCTCTGGTGTCCTCAAGGGTCCCTTTGGTGTCCCTTAGGGTCCCTCTGGTGTCCTCAAGGGTCCCTTTGGTGTCCTCAAGGGTCCTTTGGTGTCACCTGGGTGTCACCTCAGTGTCCCCGAGCCTCTTTGTGACCATCCCACCACACTCCCACCCACTGGGAACCCACGGGGACCCCCCCCAGCCACACGGGGTGGAGGGGACACCGCGAGGGTCCACCGGTGAGGGTGGCACACACCCCGATGTCCCCGTGTCCCCGGCAGTGCTTCATGAACGCCGTGCTGCAGTGCCTGAGCAGCACCAAACCCCTGCGGGACTACTGCCTGCGCCGGGACTTCCAGCAGGAGCAGCCCCCCGGCCCCCGCGCCCCCCAGGAGCTCACCGAAGGTGGGACAGACCCCCCAAAACTCCCGCAGACCCCCAGAGCCTCACGGGACCCTCCTGTGGGGACCTGAGGCCGCCGCGTCCCCGCAGCCTTCGCCGATGTCATCGCCGCCCTCTGGCACCCCGACTCCTCCGAGGCCGTCAACCCCGGGCGCTTCAAGGCCGTGTTCCAAAAATACGTGCCCTCCTTCACGGGCTACAGGTGAGACCCCCCCCCAAAAACCCTTTTGGGGTGCCCCCCGAGGCCGGGCGGGCACCGAGCGTGGTCCCTGCAGCCAGCAGGACGCGCAGGAATTCCTCAAGTTCTTCATGGACCGGCTGCACGTGGAGATCAACAGGAAGGGCCGGCGCACCCCCAGCATCCTGTCGGACACGCGGAGACCCCCGGCCCTGGAGGACCCCGAAACGCTCAGGTGAGGATGGGGGGGGGGGGAAAGGGGGAACCCCCAAATTTTTTGGGGGCCAGCTGACCCCAGCCCACCCGCAGCGACGAGGAACGCGCCAACCAGATGTGGAAGCGCTACCTGGAGAGGGAAGACAGCAAGATCGTGGGTGAGCCTTGGCGATGGGGGTGTGCCCCTGCTCCCCGGCACCCCAAAACTTGTGGGGGGGCCCCCCTGAGCCTTCCCTTTGCCCCCCAGATCTCTTCGTGGGGCAGCTGAAGAGCTGCCTCAAGTGCCAGGCCTGCGGCTACCGCTCCACCACCTTTGAGGTGTTCTGCGACCTCTCGCTGCCCATCCCAAAGGTGGGGCTGGGGTGACCCCCAAAATCTTGTCAGACCTCCCAAAATCCTTCAGACCCCTCCAAAACCTCTCAGGCCACCCCAAAAACCTTTCAGATCCCCCAAAAAACCCCTTCAGACTACCTCAAAATACCTTCATACTCTCCCAAAACCCCTTCTACTCCCCAAATGTCTTTCAGACCTCTCAAAAACCCTTCAAACCCCTCCAAAAATCCCTCAGACCCCCCAAAACCCCCTCAGAACCCCCCAAAACCC